TCGCGAGTATTGCTGGTCCGCGTACCGACGTCGCGGCCTCGTTATCAGTATCGATAATTTTAACGAGCGTGTAATCAACTAACGATGCCGTTCGGCGGATCACGAGTTTTTCAAATTAGACTTTAACGACCGGCGGACAGTGTTTTAATAACTTCGCATTAACGCGCCGGGTTTACCGCGACTGAACGGCCACGTTAAAAAATGAGGCGACCTTTTGATTCACGATTTTTTTTTCGCGTCGCTTTGCGCATCGCAATCGGCACGGCGAAATAAACTTTCGGAATGTAATTCATGCGTTTGCTTATCGACGAACGGCCATGTTGACCGATGCCCTTTCGCGTGTTTTCAGTTTTTAAACGATTTCGAGGAGAAAGTGAACGATGAAAAACGAAAGGTGTATCGACTGTGTTATACACGGTAATAACTCTTGTACGATGACACAGTGTACGTTACCCGCGCAAGCTTTTAAAGTATTGACTGCTGTTTGCGGCGACGGGACAATTACGGTAATTGGAATTTTCATTATTTTAAGTAATTTAATTATTGATAATCTCTTACATAGCTGTCGCATCGGACCGCTTCGCAAGTTAACATTACGTCACCCTAATTGCCGTCGCATATTTAATCAGACAGAGTGCAAGCGCGCCGATAAACCCATCGAGTGTATTTTTAAAATCCTCTTTAGGCCGTCATCAAATAAACCTCGACGTTCGTAATTGTTTATTCTGCCGCGGGTTTCGCTGACTTCGTTTGCTTTATCATTGACTCCAACTATAATACCGTTTGCCAACAGCAAAAGCGTACCCGCGAATTATTATTTGCGACATGTTGTTTTGCTAATTACGCGCGCACACGCGGGGCACGCGAGGGAACACGCCGTGATCAAAATTCCGCGACGTACACCGTCGAATTGTTGTAAAAACATAACCGGACCGAATCATATTACACCCGGATAATTATGTCAAAATATTGCTTTTGTTTCGGTACCGTTTCGTTCCGTTCCGTCGTACACCGGAAAAACCAGTCCCGTTGTTTATTTCGTTTCGCGCGTACCGGTGTGAACCGATTATTCCCATCCCTTCGAGCGTTGTTTCACGAGGTTATGGGAACGGCAGCCGGAATGGCCGATTTTTTTCCCCGACGGGTCGACTTCCCTGTCCGCGCCGTAACGGGCTAACGTGAAAAACAACGATCGCCAGCCACATTTTCAAATTAGCGGCCACAATAACGTCGACAACGTTAACGGCAGCTTTTACGCCCTCCTATTTACATGTTTCATAGATGGTGGCCACCACGGATATCCGAACGTTAAAATAAGTAGCGCGGGACCCGAGCTGGCTCGACCCGCAACGACGACATTCCCAATTTTCCGCTGGAATCAATGCGCCTGCTATCAGACGGAAATAAATTTTGACTATCCTGTTTCGCTGCGTCCATATTATCCGGGATTTACGAGCAGCTGAGATGATATCAGCGAGCGAATTTTCCAAAAATTTGCATAGTCTCGCACGAGGAAGATCAGCGAATCGATTAACATACACCGGAGTGTTTCACCCTTGACCTTTTATAAAAATATCAGATACTTCTGTACGTTCCGTCTTCGTTCCGCGTTTCAACGTTCCATAACGAGTTCTCAGAAGTTGTCGCGATTGTCGAGAGTCAATGATTTTCCTCGGCGAGCAGACTTAGCAGTCGATTCGAATCCGGAATGATTTCCCCGTAGACGTTATTGCTTCTTTGGAATTCGTGTCTTAACTGGCAGTATTCCGCGCACGGTGTCTCTTATTATCAGCGTTACGAGCAGAAAGAAGTTGGCCGACTGAGTTTACGACATCAATAATCGAGCGGCTTATGACGCGCTCGACTTCTCGCCGGCAACTTCTCGTCCTCGAGGCGAACTTTTTTTCACTGGGTCGCGAACCGGAAGACGTCCGACTACTGGTCGGTTTCCGCCGGTAAGAAAGGTTAGCGCAACCAACGGCCGAACTTTGGAAGTGGCAGTTGCTCGCGTCTTCTTGCGCAGCTGGCCCGTCCCCAAATCTTCTGGCCAGCCGTCCGATGTCGCGCGATGTTTTCAAACGTTTCCTCGACGAACATTTTCCGGGAGGCGAATCCTCCGCTACTTTAATTGTCGCGGGATTCGTTGACAGAGAAGCCCCGCGTTCCCGTGAACGGTCTGGAAGCGAGCATATTTCCGGCACCGTCCCCCCGAGTACACGTTTCCTCCATAAAAACGGGAATTTGTTGCCTTTCAGTCTCCCGGGGACATGTTTATTAAAATCGCGATCACGAACGGCGTAAAGGCAATGCCGGGGATGAATATTTATAGCGAGAAATTCAGTTTCGCCATTCCAGCCGGGGGACATAACGCGAATATTGAGCTGGGATCTTAGAGACATCATGGAAATTTTTAAACGAATCACGTCGCTGCTCCTGTTAAATATAGATCGATTCTGTTACCGATAATGGCGGCCAGGTCTCTTGACGGCTTAACTGTTATGGCTGCTGCTATGGATAGTGCAGATGCGAACTGTGACTGCCGCGGGAATGGCGTAGATGGAATCAGGGCTAGAGTTACAGACCGACGTTAGCATAAAGTACCTGGAAAATGAGGATTCAAGGAATGCGCCGACGGGGAACTGATTGAATATAGGGTGAACGTACTCTTGAACTGCGGTCAGTGCATGGTTTTACTGGAATAGAGATAAACGGTTCTTGGAACTGTATACAATAACTTCAACTCGGAGGTCGCCTAGATTCAGTGCACCTATAGCCGGTGCACTAACTGCTGAGACAGTGTTCGAACTTGGTTCAAACAATCAGTATTATCCATCGTACCTAAGCGTACTAATGTATTTAGTACGATTGCCAATTAGTGCCGCATGAATTTTCAACGAGTACTACACGAATCTTCCCTCGGTTCACTTGGATTTCGAGCACGCTCAATATTTTCACAACCGTCGTCTCGACGGCGCACCTTTTATCACAGGGAACGAACCATGGTAAAGTTAAGCGGTCATGGTAGTACCCCATTAACAGCACCCTGAACTCCATCAGGAACATTCGTACGAGTAGAGCCGCGGGGAAGATCGTTCACGCGTTTATTGCCCGGTCTCTCTCGTTTCCGCATAAGTTGAACGCGACAGTTCGTACAGCCAGTATAGAGGCACTCATGCATATGGAATTTCTCAGCGACGCGTCTGCATCCTGCCAGCGAGAGGCGCAGTATCAGAAGTGTGAGATAGGTCTTCCTGCTCGGCCACGACCCGGCCTCGCCGGCCGGGGCTGGCTTTATCGCGAGTCTATTAATTACCGCGATCTGCCATAAATTCGTAGTAATAGTTCGGATTTACTCGACACAGCGGGGAGGTTAAACGATCACATTAAACGCACATAGTTGCAGGACAGAACGCCATAAGGGACTTCTGTCAGGTAATTACGTGGGACAAACGACGCGATATATTACCAAGGGCTTCCTCTACCTTTAATCTTCCCCCGAATCCTTTCGCCCTCGCCGACGCAACGTCTCGTCGGACTCGAAATTTTTATCCTCGCCGATTGTTCCCGCCGATGTTCTATAAACTCCTTTGAGACCGAGAAGACTTAACTGTGGATCCGCCCGAGTTGTTCGTCGGATCCTCCCTGTAAACACTTAAGTTCGCCGTTTTCTCTTAAGACAACGACTCGGAAGTTTGCCCCCGATCGCGCGATAACGCGAGGCATCCGTGAATTCCCCGTTGATCGTTTGATCGACCGTCATGAAATCCAGCGAGGGACGCTCGCGAGGGTCCAGGCAGATGTAGTTCGCGTCGGAGCCGCGAGCGAGGGCGCGCTTTGTTTCGCCTCCCTAAATTCTCACACTCAAGCGAGCACGTCTTATCCGGGGAAGGAACAAGGGCCTCCTTGAACGCTTTATGCTTCGAGACAAAACGCTTTTGAAAAGTTTACACGATGGTCCTTGTCAGCTCTCGTCGCGCGCCCAGTCACGGGGGGATGATACTCGGTAGTCCGTGGAAGCCGATTACTCAGGTTCACCCGGTGTATTATCTGCGTGAGAGATACCTAAGACGAGGGGGTTTTGTATCTACCACTCGCCACGATCTCTGCCTCTCTCTCCCCGTCTCTGTCCCTCGTCTACGCTATTCAACATTTCATCAGACGCAGTGCGCTCGTGCATTGTTAACATTGTCCACTTAATAGCCGCGCGAGTATCTGCCGCGCATGCCAAAGGGAATTCCGAATACCGGTGTTTCTTACCGAAATCTTTGAGCTCCTCGGGAGACTTGAAATCGCCTTCCTTTGAAGCTTCCCAGTGCATCGATGTTCCTCAGAAACAACACTTGACGCATTGATGATGCGAGACAAGTGGGAGATCTCCTCGAGCGATATCGCATTCGAAATATCGCGTTTCATAACGTACCGGTGAATTCGAGGCACATTTAATGCCAGAGAAACAACGTCTGGACACAGGGAAACGATATCCTTTCCCGCAAATCCTTGATAAAGAAAGATCGGTTTCCTCAACGAGTTTCGTGAAACCACGAGGAGCGCGCGGCCAAACAAATAGCGGTCTGACAAGCGTACTAGCAGCGAAACGTTACAGTATTCACTATCCTTAATGCGCTTGTCCGTCGATGCTGTCGTTATTTCGAGTGGAATGCATCGTGCTCCAGATTCCTTGGGGAAAAGGGACGAAAAAGAAGCCCGACCGACCGACCGACCGACCGACCAGGCACAGTCTCGAATGGCACGGGCAGAGGGAACAGGGAAAGAGAAAGAACTCCGAACAAATGTTTTCAATATGTTGCATAAATCGCGTGTTTCATCGTAAATTGAAATGGAAATGCATATAACCGTACGATATGGAAGCGGCTTTATTGTTCCATTCTTATTCCAGCAACGTTTCTATGGCGCCTCCTCCTCCGTTCCATCGCTGTGCAGGACGCCATCGATCCGTCCGCCTAGAGGATCTCTTTTTAACTCGGACCTCGTTCTTACAGATGTCATCGTCCCAGGGACAGCCTGTTCTCGTGGAGCTCGGGATTCGACAACTTCACCGGGTTCGTCAATTGGGGCTTCCTGTTGCTGGGCATCGGCGGAATCCGATTACTTCTAGAAAATTTCATAAAGTGAGTATACGCACACACGCGTGTAACCTTCAGAATCGCAACGATCTCGAGATCCAGCGGCGATTCTCGTAGCAATTCGCGCAACGCGTTGTCAATGCGATTTATCAGGGCTAGTTGTCGCGAGCTGACGCTGATGCCTCTATCAATTCCGGGGAAAAAGTAGCTGCCGTGGATCCACGGAATGGCTCCCACGAGCATTTTTTTCACCTCGAACGTGACCGCGATAGGGGTTAGACGTTTCGATCATGCGAGGGCGAGCGTGCCGCTTCGGGGAACGTTTCTTAAACGCCCCGGATCCCGAACGGTTCGCGCTTCGGACCGAAATAGTACCGGGAAGGTGGATGCCGGAAGGAACGACAGCTTCATCAAGCTGTCATAGGGCGGCGGCGCTAGAGAAGAAAGGTTATTGCCGAGGGAGACACGTGAGCAGAGTCCCCGGGAAATCCGTAACTCCGCGCGAACTTGATGGAACGCGTTCGAACGCGACAAACGAATTTCATTTAATTAGCGAATCGACCGGCCGCAGCTGCGGAACTTTTTCCCGCTGATTCGGACGGATCCGTTCTCCTTGTTCATCTTTTTTTCCCCCCTTCTTTTTCCCTTTTCAGTTCCTCCTTTTTGCTCGCTAAGACAGGAGGATTTTTACGCGGAAAATTCGCGCCGGGGAACAAAGGGAGAGTGGATAGTCGGAGTAATCGGATCGACAGGGAAAAACGAGATTCCGCTGTCGCCCGGGCACAATGTGGAGCGCCGCGAGACGTGTCTATTCATGTGGCTCATCGTCGGGAATCGCGGTCCGCCGGTGTAATCTATGTCGAAATAATCATGACAGCCTAATCTCCGCTGATAAGTACATCATTATCGGTGGTCATCGCGATACGGTTTATACCTTTGTGCGGATTATAAAGCTTATTGTCGGAGGCGGCCGTACAGATCCATTAATAATGTTCGCCGATACAGTTCATGGTTGCTAATGTGTCGATACCAATGCCAGCTCGTGCTGCTCCTAAAATACGGAGTCTGTTTCGCCCGCTTCTGAATCCAGGTTAATTATTTCCAGTTTGATGCGAGTACGGTTACGAGGTATCTTGCCGCGGTAATAACAACGACTTTGTTAACGGGCCAAATGTAATAATAACGGTACTAATTTATCCAACGCGCACCCTTTAGGATGGTTTGATTGTCACGTGTGAAGGGAAAGAATAAATGCAAGATAAAATGAATAATGGGCTAATGAATGGAAACGGCAACCAACGAAATTCTAAAGTGTTCGCAATTATTTACGGTACAATTGAATGTTGAGTACGATAAAACCATTCGGAGCGCGAGTAACAAGTGTTTTGAGCACCAAGAATATTCCCTATCTAATCTCGAAAGTAAAGGCTAATTAAATTTAGGAAGGAGATGTAGGATAGCAGTGTGTTTGAACGGTACGTGAAATTGATGAGCTGTCATGGCGAGAAGAATTATAACAGAAAGACAGGGGGTATCCTCGGCGCAATATTTAGTTGAAACCAGCGAATGAAACTAGAGGGGACGCATAACAAAAATTAATTAATTTATGAGCGCCACTCTGGCTCGCCTCGGTTCCCGATTAAAATTAACAGCGTGTCCGCTCCGCCTTCACCGGCGGAAGATTTCGCCACGCGTAGACGACAACTTCCCCCGATTTCCCTTCTTCGAATAGGGTGCGGTACAAGCTCTGCCCATGAATAATTTCAACGAGATTTTTATCGCCGTTGTAAACTCCCGGCCTCGCGTCCCGGCCGTGCTCCTAGGGGCGCGTAACAGAAATTTATCACGCTCGTTAAGCGTGGAAAAACTTTCGAAGGAAAGTTTCGCGACGTAATTGCTCGGGGTAGTCTCGAAGCGTTTCTGAAACAAACGCGGCTGCGGGTCACTCGAACTCGCCGTTGCCGTCTTGGATCGAGCGGGAAGTGATTCCATGCGTGACCAGCACCGCGAATTGTCCCTCGGATTGGCAGACACATTATTCCGAGGCCATTCGAAACTGCCGGCCAAGTTCTGTCTCACTTTCGCGTTATTATTTCGGTGCGACCGCGTACATCCGTCTTGGAACCGGTCTCCTTTCGGTCGATCACGACGGATCGGTTCTTCCCAACAGCGCGGGGAGAGGGTCCTTCATTTGTCTGCACTCGGTTCAACGAGTAACTGTGCGTCACAGTCGTAAAATGGCATAGTCAGCGTGACGTGACAAACCAGCGTCGTGTTTTCATGGAAACTTGGAGCTCCAACGTTGTCTCGGTTTATTGGCTACTTCAACTTCGGAGGAAGGCTGAAGCGATAAATAAGTTGTCTGATTCAAAGATCTATGTTCCGAGACTTCGGGTATGTGGTTCAAACACGAAGTCTAGTCGTAAACACTTGAATCTATTATTCCTGCCCTTGGACGGTACTTTAAATTAAATCCAGGGACCCTAGCTATCTAACGTTTAGCTTCCTTGCGCTCGATCGATCGATCTTGCAGTCGAGATCCTAGAAATCTGATTGCCAAATTGAAGTCTGCTAATTGGTTTGCAAAAGATTCCACTCGAATGCCACTTTCTCCGCTTCACGATCCGCGCGTAAAATACCCAGCACTCGTGTATACATCTTCATTTAGGTAAACACATGGAAATCGAGTCGCGAGGACCGCGAACTCCAAGGCGAACGTTCCCGTTGTTCCTGGAGGAATTTATGCAACAACTTCTGCGTCACAGCAGCGTCTGAAACTTGGACGTTCTTTTTACACGGTGCCCGGTGTTTACCATGCCGTAATATACGACTGGATCGCGGAAATGAGTTGAAACGTACCGCGCATTCCCGTGACCGGGCCACGTATCTATTTTAAAACGGAAATTAACGGAGCTGGAAACTTATTTATCGACCCCGGTAATGCAAACTCGCTAAGTTTCTCCTATTCCGGCGTAACCGTGGGAATTTCTTGGCGCAGTCCTCCTCCGGCGATATCGAGGCGCACCTGAATGAATATAAAAACAAACGCGACCGTAAAAAATTTGTTATTCAAGACCGCTCGGGCGCGGTATAATTTATAACAGTGCAGTCGATCGAATCGTGTCGCCTGACGGGGGTGCACGAATCGTAACAGGGTTCTTGGGGGAAGAAGAAACGAATCTCGAGAACGGGACGGACCAGGGAACGCGATTGGGACGACGATCGAGATTAATCGACGCGGAGAAACGTCGGGCGGCCGCGCGGCACGGGGGGCAGGGGGTTGAAAGAGACACGCCGGTAAGAAAGTGGGAGGATGGTTCTCCCGGCGAAGTGAAAAAAAGTAGGAAGAGAGCTCAATTAATCGGACTCTCGGCGAAAGACTCTAGCTCCATCGATAAAAGTCCGTGGAAAGGTTTGGAGACGGAGGGACAGAGAGAGGATGATTGCCAGAGGGAGAGAGGGAGAGGGAGAGAGGGCTGGTATATCGAAGTTTCCGCTCGTCCCCGCCTCGGTCCTTATCCTTTTTTTCGCGGCGTCGTTCGCGGAAACTTTTTGAAAGGTTCACGATCTGGTCATAATTTATGCACTTAAACTGGAACTGTACGAAGCTTCGTGCAATTCTTAATGTGCCGAGTTTACCGAGGGCGGGGGGCTAGGGGCGCGGGGGGCCGCAGGCGGGATTCGAGAAACCGAGGCGAGGAATCAAAGACGCTGCGGGTACCAATAAATTGAAAGTATTAAAGTATACTTGAAACGGGAGCCACGGAATTTTCTTGCAGATCCGCTTAAAAACTTTTATAAATCACGGATTAAATCGGAGTAACGATTTCGTTTCCGTCCTAAGAAGATTCTCAATGTTTCCGAGGACTCGCCTGTCTCTTTTCTTTTTTTTCCCCCTCCCGTTCCGTTCGGTTGATTTCTTTTTTATTTTTCCGCTCCCCTTTTCTTGATTCTGTTTTTCCGGGACGGGCGCGCAGCGATGCGTCGGAACTAAACGGAAATGTAATGGACGTGTATTATTATCGCGTCTGACAACGAATACCCTCGAACAACGGGGACGGGGGCGGGACAGAAGGTATTGGTTAGCGATAAAGTTTCGCCCACGGTATTTTTAGATCCTCCGGCGGAAGCTTCATATTCCCAGGAACGATTACAGCGTCCGGCTTTGGAAAATTTTCAGCGATTCGATATCGGGGCCGAGCACGTCGCGGGTAGACGGCCGAATCCATCGTGTCACGTTCATCCCCCCGTCGTTCTATTTTGCCCGTGATTTTCGCAAGGATTCACGTCATGCCGAGAAATAAAACTCGTCCGCCGTTCATCCGGATTACATCAGCTATAGTCGGCCGAATCCTCGGAACTGCGCCGTTCCTCGGTATTACCGGCCGAAAAATGGCATTAACGTTCCCGGCATAGCGATAGTTTCGTCAGACATATCGTGCAGACATGCTGACAACCGTGGCGCAGTCGCGTACCCTTTAACACTAGCGTGTCCCGTGTGCGCGATAAAGCTCTGTACAAGTCGAGAGACGCGAAATCTGGATTATTTCAACAAAATAATATTTAGACGAACTCTTCTTTTATTTTCATACTCTGTATTTCAAACATTCGTTCGTTCGAAAGATCGATCGATCGTTATAGCCGTTTAAACCGGTAGGAAGCAAGGTTTCGTTTACGAAACGCATCTTGCTCGATCGCTCGAGTTACCCGGTGGTTCTCGCGAGGAAACAAATAGTTCCGGACGTTCGGAAAAATCGGGGAGTTGACTGAATCAGTCGTCAAACGGTTTCAATCAGTTCCAAACGGTTTACGGGCGAATCGACTCGCGACCCGAGTCCCGAAACAAATTTTCTAATGAACATACAATATCCGTTGTTCCCAACATCCGTGCTACCGTTCGATTTCATCGTCCATTTGACGGAAACGCTCAACACGCCCCTCTCGATCTCGCCACCCTAACGAAATCGGATTTGAAGCGGGCAGCGGTGCCGGATCAGTTTCGTAAAAACCGCTGAGCCGGCTTCCATTAACAGGTCGCAGTCGATTCCATTACGCGCGCGTCGCGGCCTATGCTTTTGAATCTAATTGAGGATACCGTTGTCGGATGTTTACGGCGAGTTGCGTGCACATTCCGCGAGCACTTTGATCCGATTAACGATACCGCGGAAAGTGATTTAGACTGACAGATTGCGCACGTCGAACCTTTGTGTCCCGGATGTAATCGGATCGCGGCAATTACACTATGAACTTGAAATTCCATTAGATAATCGCGCCGTCCCGTCCCCGCGCGGCCAGAAAATTCGGGTCACCAGATTACACCCCCGGAACGTGGGCGACTGTAAATCGTATTAATGATGCTGCGTCGCGTCGCGTCGCGCCGCGTCGGTCCGGCCCGCGAGGTTACAGGTCACTGGTCTTACCGCTTTGAGCTTTTTAAAGCTCGTTCGATTATTACACGGTGACGGCCGTCTTCTTCCCGGCGCGCGACACTGAGAAAAAATAAAATCGTCGTGTTTCACGCTCGCACCGGGCGAGGGGAGCGACGTGTGCTGGCGTGCGCGAGGTACCTCATTTATAGCTCGCTCGCCGTTTAAACCGCGTCGAATCACCGAGGCGTGCGCCACTTTGAAACGATCGCCGCGACAATGGCGGAACCGCGTTCGACCGCGTCTGGCTGGAACGAGATAAACGTTATCGTCGTCATTTATTAATATTTAACGGGGGCCTTTCGCGGCGACGTTTTTACACGGGAACCTTCCGCATCGGTGTCGTAACTCTTTCAATCTGGAGTTTTCGAGGCTTCCGGTCCCGCCGGCGATCCTCTCGAATGGCGGGGTCGCGCCGCCACCGTTGCCACCGTTTCCCCCAGCTCTCCACCCTCTATCCATCTCCGTTCTTCTTTCCGGGTCGACGCGGAATTGGGGATTTTATCGTGACGCTGTATTAACGAACTTCTCGCCGGGCGAAGAACGGGCGGGGGCGCGCGCGGATTTAACGGCCGCGGCCGGATCAAAGCGGTCATTCTCGCCGCGGCGGAAAGAAATTTAATATCGTTCCCCGACCCGCGCCTTGGACCGATGAGTTTCGATGGCCACGATAAACCCGCGTCCCGCCCTCGAATCCCGACTCTGTTTCGGCTCGCTCTATCCGGCTTATCTCGAATAAACCAGCCACGAGTCGCTGTGCTTTTTGATAGATCCGGCGAACCTTAGGGGCCACTCGCGCCGCCGGCAGAAATACGGGAACAGGCGATTGGAAGTTTTGTTTACAGACTATTCTTGAGCTCGCGGCGCCGCTAGGTGTAAAGTGGATCAGACCGCGCGCGAACTTTTTGATTGGATCCGTTCGCGCGACTTAGAATCAGAGATAGGACGCGGTCTGGAAGCGATTCTGCAGAGTGGCCTGTTATCGGGGCGCGCCAGCGATATTGATTATATACACGCGATAAGTGCGTTGAAACGGTGTAACGTTTTTTCGGCTGTGAAATCTTTATAGAACGTCCGATTATTTACGGCGACCCGATTTGACGAATAAACGTTGCCGCGGAATGAAATCTTTTCATCATTCGTTTCACAGTTCCCGGCAAGTAGAAATTGCAAGTGAGGATCGGACACGCCCTCAAACTGTCGAAGTACTGTCGAAGTTGGTTCGTAAAGTGGAAGCGTCCTATCAAAAGATATTCTTCCGTACTTTCGACCGCTTTTATCGCGCGGAATTACACCGTCTACGGTAGATCCAGTATCTCGTTGACACCGGGCACAATGGAAAGTTCACACGGAGCGCAGTTACTTTTCCAAAGATTGACTTCATTCCGTGACACGGCGGAGCAGTCGGAATTCTACGAACTCCCGGCCGAGATATAACGCCATTGTTATCCGGTCCTTATTGTACAATTCGAGCAATTTCAGCCGGGAATCTGGCTTCAGTAATTCATCGGCCGGGCGTTATTTCTCTTTCAAGTAATAACGAGGTTTCTCGCGGATTAAAATCCCGAGCCGAGCCCCGTTCGCGCCTTCGGAACGGGAATTAGCATGCATTAACTCGAGCCTCGGCCCCGCTCCAGTCCGCTCCGCTCGGCTCGGTCCGTGACGAATCGATTTTCAAAGTATTTAACAATTCAATCGGCGGAACTGCGCGAAAGATATATAGGAGCCGGCGGCGGCGTGCTCCGTGATTTACCGGCCGGTAATACAAGGGGATTGCTGTTCCCTTTCGAATCACTTTTTGGCTCGCCACCGCGCGCGCACCGGAGTAGCTATCAATTATAAACGTTTGATTTTTCCGGCATGCTCTTCAATTATCGCGGACTGCGTCAACGTGACTGATTGCGTTTGTGCCGACGGCGAGCAAAAAAAAAGGAAAAAAAACGCGGGAACCGCGTGCAGAGAGAAGGGGAGAGGGACGAAACGAGTCGACGATTGCGTCCCAATAAATATCCTTCCTCGTGTCTGGCCGCGCCCACTTCAAATACTTTAATTACTTCACCTATAAGCCTCGTTTATCATCGTTAGTCGACGCGTTGGACCCGAAGCCATTAGTGTCGGTTACGCGGCCCCTCGCGCTCTTTTTTTTCTCCTTCCGCCGATGTAGTTCGTTTGTCTTCGGCGGACGCCGCTCGTGTGCAACAAACGTACCTGATGGCTTCCATTGATACGATGGCACGCGATAAATCCGCCAGCGCCATCAAAACTCGACGCGATAGAGACTGGTTCGCCGAAGCGTGCTTCTTTATTTTCCGCGGTCCGCCGGCGAATCGCAATTATCTTATGATGCGAGACGTTCGAAGAATATCGTACACCTCGACTCGTCTGTAGAGCTTTATTGCGGGGATTTACACTTGTATCGATGGGATCGGGTAATATGCCTGTGAAATTCGCATAAGGGAAAAATTGCTTCCGGTCGGCGCAGCGAAATAAACTTTATAGCTTCGTCTGAATATCCTAACGTAAATCGAGCTCGGATATAAATATTATTTAATTGTACTATCAGAAGTGGTATTAATAGTGTTTCCAGAATAGTTTCTATTCGAAGAACGGTCGACTGGAACAGCGAGAAGTTAATTATCTCGTTAGAGCTGTAATTGAAGAATATCCACTAGCGATTATTCCGAAAGTGTCGGCTTCTAGAAAGATTGCACGGAACACCTCGTCCTCGAGTAACTGGTTGAAGATATATTCGACTGCGGGTCAGAATCGCATACTCTAGTAGCCGGAGGACCAGCCGAGGAGACTTCAAAAGAATGCATGAGCCGTCGTCCGAACCGGCGATATTGTTTATTCATGTATCCGCAAAATAACTGTACGGCGATGCCCGTACAGAATCCGTCTCCCGTCCTCTCTTTTGCATGTCAGAGGGGCACGGATAAGGGCGACGTTTATTATTTGCCCGTGCAGAACAGAGGGATCAAAGGGGCCCGTGACTTTTTATTTGGCTCCCCTTTGCTTCTTCGTTCTTGTGCTTTTTTCCGGGGCCACGGGTGAAGAGTATCGCGTCGAAGACAGACGGTAATAACGACGCCTTTGCTCTTCGACCCGTGTCGCAGTGTAGCCACTCGCTTAACGTCACTGCGACGATAAAGCCCTCGGGTACGAGGTCATGTGGGGAGGCGGAGAGCGCCGCGATAATAACGGATGGAGTGTCCTTTCTCTTTCAAAGTGTTTACAAGCCCCATTTTTTTTTCTTTCGTTCTGTCGCAGATACGGGATAAGGGTGGACCCGTGGCAATGGTTCCTCTTCCTCAGTGGCAAGTACGAGGGCGGCGAGGAGCACCCGTCGATCCTGCTCGTCATCTGTAAGTCGTTCCATCGATTCCTCTCTTTTAGAACCGCGCCGCGGATGTCTGTGCAAATTTATTTTTCAAGAAATCGACGCGGAGCAACCGCGAATAGATTGAACGTCAATTTTCCGTATCATCGGTACGGTTCGAAAACGATGGTCTCGGAACGGAAACTCGATTTAATCGTACCGCGTCAGAATTTGTCTGCTTTTAATCAGTTTTGGAACGATTCGACGGTGATGCACAGTTATTCGCAGTTCGATCATCGAATATTTATTTCAGCGCAGCAGAAAGTGTTCGGGAAGCGTGTCGCGAAGTCCAGTGGAAATTTAGTTTGCGCCGTACATCGGGGATTAAAACTTTAACCTCGTTTAAACAGTTACGCCGCGCGTATCTGGACGACGAGAGCATTAACGCGCAATATTGCCTCTATCTTGATCGCACCAGTCGCATTTCGCCGTGAGTTCGCGACGCGGAAAACATAATGGAAAAATTACGTGTCGCAAAAAACTAGTATCGTGTGTGCGAGGGCCAAGGGTGGAGAGTTACTAATTTAAATGTAAAAGTAATTAGCGGCGCGATGTCCGCGCTACGAAGTAACCGCCCCAACGGTCCGACGCGTTAAATTTCAAAGATATATCCATAATTCTCCAAGGCGTATTTAACGTGGGTCGCGTCTATTGTAACGTGAAAGTTCAAAGACACCGCCACCCGTAGATAACCGGCCCGGGCTGACCCGGTACGTCCGGCTGAATTCAAATTTATCACTAAGCGGGAACCCTCTAAAGCGTCGTTTAAGCTCGACTTTAAAGGCTCGAAATTTAGCGCGGCTGAGTTGTGCTCGGCGTAAATTTATCTATCCTATCGGCTAGACGCGAACTGCTCTGCCGAGCATTGTCCTTTTACTGCCGCGCGATACATTCGGTTATCTGCGGTTTCATCTGGAATCACGACACGCCTCGCCTGTGTCACGGGCTTTTCGGAATATCCGCCGCTTGGTACTTCAATTATGCCGCTGTTAATGAGTTAAATTATGCACCGTTCAATTTAGAAATGATTCGAAGCGTTTAATGAAACGTAGAACGTGTTTGTCTTTAAAATAAGATGCTCGTCTATACTCGGGTTTCGGTAATTTGACTGTTGCTATTAGAAAGCGGAGGATTACGAGTAAATTTCGGATGTGTCGTTCATTCGAAAGTTTATTATTTCGCTTTTCTCCAACATTCTAACACGATTACTTTCATAACGATCTCGCGCGAACGTGAAATATCCGATGTAAAGTAACCGTCGCCGGAGATGCAACGGCGCCCAATGAACCAGCAAAGTTTCCGGCCATAATTTATTAGTGGTCCGTAGATCGTGATTAATTTGCACAACAATCGAGCGCGGAATTCGCTGCCGTCGGGCGACTCACTCGATTAGGGGTGCAACGGTTTCAAACACACCGTAAATGCTGAATAGAGCGGGTGGGGTAGTAAAAGGGTTGGGGTGACTCTCGACGAAACTCTCTCTCGCGTAACCTGACACAACAAGTAGCGGCGAGTGACCCAGTGGAAAATCGTCCCTGGCAAGTTTCACCCGAATTTCCCGATACTCGAAACTGGTAGCTAATTATCGCCGTGATTAGGCATCCAAATGAATTTCTCCCGGGCAACTTTCGCTCTCGGCGCATTCTTGAAGAACCCGTGCCCTCGTTTCCATGGTTCCGATACTTTAACCGCGACGACATCGTTCAACGCCGCTTTAAATTCTACGAATACCGAATAATATCCTCGAACATCTCCGTCGTTTACCGTTATCGAGGAATAATTAATTAACAATCATTCAGCAATAGCAGTAAGTATCACTGTTAAACTATCACCGGTTATCCTACTTCCTTACGGCTATCGATTTCCGATATCAAAGCTCAAATTCACCATTACCCGGTGGCCGACGCAAAGGGTTAAACTCTAGGTCCACAGCTGCGCCGATATCTCGTTTCCGTGTATGCACGCGTGAGCTTGCAGATTGCACGTACAGGCTCTCACAGGCAGGGGTCGCGAGATGCGGCTGCATCTGGGGGTGAGAGTTGCATTATTTACACATGAGGTAAAGTAATGCTCATAGGGAAGTACGGTTAATAGCCCTCATATTTTAGAATCTTCGCCGGCCCTTCTTTCCTTACCGCGTGGCCTTAACTTCCAGCCAGCTCCCCCCCTGACCCCGCCGCTCTTTGAACCCACCATCTTTTTATGCCCCCGCTCGTTGGAGTGAATGCACCCTCCAGCACGAGCGCGCACCTCGTGGCCGTGGCTCTCGCGTAATAATTTTCATGGCGGCTGCCGCGGCACGGCCGCCGAGATTGCTTTTTAAACGGCCCTCCTGCAGAATCTCACGGCCTCCGCGGCCCGCTGTTCCGCGATTAGGGGATTAATTATTTCGTGGACGCCATGAAGCGCGAATCAGCCCGTTTAACGGCTGGCCCCCGGCGTGATTTATTCCGAACCCGTCCTTGATTAGCTTGACATATTTCGCGCGAGCGTTACGCCTCCACCGCGGAACTCGCTTCAATTTTTCACCGCGCAACTTTCTTGCCTTAGACAGGAGATATTTCGGATTTTTCTTTAACAGCTGCCTAGCAATTCGATTCACTTATTTAGAATTTCTTTGGATAAAGAGAAAAATACGATTCTTGTGATTTGAAGCTGCCACTGCTGTTCAGATAGACGAGTTTAATTGACGATTCGGACAACTGTTATCACAGATTCAATGACTGTAGAATAGTCTTCAAATAGGTTGTTTCAATGCATCTGACAGCTTTAGAGTGACAGAATCGTGGAAACGTGGATTCTTGATCTTTTCTCGAACAGACATTCCTATATACTTTAATTGGATCTTTGAAGAATTCAGTACTAGAGTCGAAGCTGTGGAATTAGACGAATTTCACTGTCAATATTACTGTTCGGCACGTCGGGCTCGCCCCGATTTAATGCGGCAAAAATGTATCCTTGATTTGACGTAATGACAGCGGCCGTCTCCGATTTATAGCCTGGCCGGTATCCATTTTTCGCGAAGACCGGGCGGAACGTTAATTGTACTTTTTTACAACCGCAGCTCAATGCAATTCCGGCGCACGCCGCGCGCCGCGGCACGCGAATTCATGTCGAGAGTCTCGTCGAGTTAGGGGCGCGTTATGACATCATTGTTCGAGTTTCGTTCCGTGATTTTCGGCCGTTACCGCCCGCCGAAGCCGTCTGCGCTTTTATATTTATTTTAATGCCGGGATTTTTGTTTTATGCCTCGCCCGAGGAATTATTAATTAGCTTTCTGCAATGACCTATAGCCGTTGATTGCATCTTTTAACATTACGCCCCGGGGAATCAGGTTCGTTCCTAAAGTTTCTTTCGGAATATTTACCGGGGAATATTTTACAGTGAAAAATATCGCCCCATTATCACCTGTTCTACATTCAAGGTAATAAAAATTCTTCATAAACTGCAGGTAACTTTGAAGTTACAGCAGATACGGTTCCTTTATTAACGTCGTTTCTTGTCATTAACCCGAGAATGCTTTATTCGGTTTTCTTGGGGGATGCCTTCATAAAGATACCTTTAATGCGGAGGGAATATTCGTGTTTCGTGCAAGATCAGGAAACGAGACAGTACTGTCTCCGGCTGTGCGCCGTATTGTTCGGACCTTCGCATTCCAGCGAGCGAGACTGCGAAACTTCCCCGGCGAAAAAGCCAAAGGGAAACAAACAGACTTTCACCGTCGCATTTCACCCGTAGGAAATGCCACTCCTCGGGCATCTATACCGGAGCGTCCGTTTTGCGGTTTCGCGGAAGTTTCGGCGCGGCAAGTTCCGCGGAACTTAAAGTAAACTGTAACTCAATGCCGAGGGTTTTGCAGTGACGTAACGAGTCAAGAGCAAATGTGAAAGGGTGCAACAAGCTGCCTGCTTATAAAGTTCTATGACACCTCCGCCGAGTGGTGTCAGTCATGAAACATTCAATCTGCATTAACCTTAGCTTCGCGTCAACTGAACAACCGCCGTACGACTTTGCCGCGTATAATGAACCGCCTGGAAAGTTCATCGTTCTTACCAGTCGACGTCGGAATTAATGATTAAGTTACAAACTTTACGTATTCATCGCGTCGCGGTTCTAGATAATTTCAAATGTCACGATAATCAGGAAAGAATGATTCCCTCGGTGCCGATAATGTTCCACGGGAGAACAGAAGATAAATCGGCTTTGTTTATTTTAAACCGGAGGACACGGTTAGCGAACAAAAGACAAATTGACGTTCCAAATCAATAATTCCCGACAGTGTTCGAACCTATTCGGCGGCTGCACGGGTAACCTACATTTCGCGCGGCGTTGTCGAGCGTTCGCTGCGCGCGCGCGACCGAGAAATCCAAGTAATTATCACCGATATCGGGCCACTTCGAGCAGATTTTTACGGTAACAGGGGGAGAATTAATGCCGCCGATGCCGTGGCACGGAATACGGGTCATTGAAATTTATTTTCGCCTTTCTGGGGGGTGAAATCCGCCGCCGGAACCGCGAAAGCTCTATTACCGGCCGAAAGTTACGGCCATTCAACGGGAATTTCAACCCTTTTTCACCAACTCCTCGAACCGACGGATTGTTTTCAATCGAATCGCGAATTAATCGCAACTCGTGAGGATGTGCTCTCCAGAGAGCGAAAGGGGCGAGGGGGCGCGGAGAAAGGAACAAAGAAAAAAATGGAAAAAACGGTCGGGTATCTGGCATTATCCCGCGGTCGACCGGTGATGCCAACTTTCCCGACGGTTCTCGTAATTGATGCGGATATTAAAATTTTTCGAGCCTCGCGCGAAGTGGTCGGAACAAAAGGTCATAATGAAGCCTTGATGAAAAGGGACAGCGAAAAAACCGCAAGGCCAATATTGGCTGACCGAACTCGCCGTTTCTGCTGCTGATTTTACCTTCCCGCGTGGCGATGAATGGGCCTCGACGCTCGCCGGTCAGCGTATTTCACGCGTGCTAGCTGTT